AGGCCAACGTCGTGTGGTATGATGAGGCGTCTGCGGCCCTGGAGCATGTGCTGGACAGCTTGCTGCAGCAGAGGTGACTCAGCAAACCCACCCACTAGGAACAGGAACTTAATGTTGCTCACCTCTGGCTTCTCAAAGAGCTCGGCTGCAGAAGAGAAACAGAATCCTTTATCCAAATACCTCAAAACTGTACTTAAGTATAGCACTTAAAATAATGTAACTAGTTCCTTTGCATCTCTGCTGGTCTCCAGCAGTGGGTAAAGTTTCTCTTTAAAGCATAATAATTCCATTTTATGACAACTTATCAGAAAATGTGGTTTAACTGTACAGCAATGCAAGTAACAAGATGAGTAGACAGCCAGTAAACAAGCTATTTTAGCCAACACAGTTTAAAGTGCTTTTTTGTCAGTGAATGCACCTAAAATGCCACTAATAATCCCTCACTGCCAAGAAAAACCTCTCACAACAACTACAATTAGAATTAACACTTTGCATTTGTATGCCTCCACCAACCAGACAAAGTCGTGGGAATCAGATGGATGTGAGGTCACTGTGACCTTTGACTTCCAAAATCTAATCAGGTCATCCCTGAGTGGACATTTGTGCCAAATTTGAAAAAATTCCCTCAAGGCGTTTCTGAGATATCTGTTCCATTCACAGGAATGGGCCAGATGGATGTGAGATCACTGTGACTTTGACCTTTAACCATACAAATTTAACTAGGTCATGCTTGAGTCCAGTTGGACAGTTGTGCTCAATCTGAGCAAGCTCTCTTTAGTTATTTCTGAGTTACTGTTCACAAGAAGGCACAGGTGCCTGCACGGACAGATGGACGGGTGACCTGAAAACATCACACCTTCGGCTATGGCTATTGCCAGCGTGGAGGCATAGAAAGCACTGTGAAGTTAAAGCTGAAGAACAGTTTGGGTTTTGCCCTGCTTCCACATCTCACTGACTGACTACAAGATCATTATTACAGCTTATAACATTGGGCGAAACTAAGAAAATACAATCAAACGTCTATTAATATGTAATTTTCTTAAACTGTAACAATAATGATTCAGAATTAGGAGAGATTTAGATTTTGAGGCTTGTGTTTGATGCTAAACAGTGAAACTATGTTCAGATTTAGTTGTAATGGGGAAAACAGAAGAAAAGTGCCACTGCTGGAATTTCCTGCCCTATGTATTTTAAGGTGTTCCCATTTGGGCAGACAAAATATGGGAAGATAGAATGGAAAGTTAGAAAAATAACCTCAGCGCCTGATTTACCTGCTTCGGGGAAGGTAAAAGGAGGCAGTGTGTGTGTTTATTAACAACTTGTGGTGTGGAGATGTACGGACTGTTTATAAGCACTGTTCGCCAGACGTAAAGTTTTTATTGCTGAAATGCTGCCCCTATTATCTAGCAAGAGAGCATAATGCTGTGTTTCTGGCTGCTGTGTATGTTAGCCCAAAAGCTAATCCCTCTGCGGCTCTCAGGAAACTGTATGATGTCATCAGCGTGCTCGAGACCGTGCACCCCGACACTATATTTATTGCTGCAGGCGACTTTAACCAGTGTAATTTACGGACTGTACTTCCCAAATATTACCAACATGTGAACCTTCCCACCCCAGAGGCAAGAACACTCTAGATCATGTTTACAGTAACATACGTGGGGCATACAGGGCTGCACCCCGCCCCCACCTTGGATGCTCGGACCATATTTCTTTGTTCCTGTATCCAGCTTACAGACAAAGACTGAAACAAACCCTGTCACCAAACAAATTAAACTCTGGACCCCAGAGACTGAAGGCATCCTGCAGGACTGCTTTGCCCAGGCAGATTGGGATTTGTTTAAAGCTGCAGCCACCTCAGAGGAGTTTTCTGTCAGCATCCAGGACAATGTTGAGTATGTGACCAGGTACATTAGTACCTGTATTGACAACATTGTGCCCACCATGCAAGTCAGGAGGTTCCCCAACCAGAAGCCCTGGATAAACAGTCAGTTCGCTCTCATGCATTCAGATCAGGTGATGAGACGGAGTACAAAGCTGCGAAGTACAGACTGAGGAAAGCCATCACAGCGGCCAAGAGGCAGTACAGAGAGAAACTGAATGGCTTCTATTCTACTGTTGACTCCGGACGGATGTGGCAAGGCCTGTAGCACATCACAGACTACAGGACCACCACCAGCATCATCAGCTCCACAGACAGCCTGCCGGATGACCTCAACACCTTATACACCCGCTTTGAGACCTCCAGCCACAGCACAGAGAGGAGGCACACACACACACACTGAGACCACCCAACCCCCAACCTCCCCTCCACTAACTGTCTTACCAGGCCAGGTACACACAGTCCTGAGGAAGATCAACCAAAGCAGCAGGACCGGACAACATCCCTGGGAGGGCTCTCAGGGCATGTGCCAGCGAGCTGGCTGATGTTCTCACCACCAGTTTCAATCTCTCCCTCAGCCAGAGCATTGTTCCCACCTGCTTTAAAACCACAACCATCGTCCCCCTTCCCAAGAAAAGCCCAGTCACCTGCCTGAATGACTACAGGCCAGTGGCACTCACCCCAATCATTATGAAATGTTTTGAGAGTGTGGTGCTGGCCTGCATCCAGAGCAGTATACCGGACAGCCTGGATCCTCTGCAGTATGCCTACCAGCCCAACAGTTCCGCCTCAGATGCCATCGTGGCTGCCCTCTGCTATTCCCTTTTTCACCTGGAAAATGGAGACTCATACATTAGAATACTCTACATTCACTACACCTCCAACACAGTTGTCCCCCACAAACTCACTCACAAACTGTCCACCCTGGGTCTGAGTTGGCGCCACAGATGGCTCACCCTGTTCACCCACGACTGTGTCGCCTCCCACAAAGACAACATCATCCTAAAATTCGTGGACAACACCGCAGTGATAGGGGACGAAGCAGCCTACAGGAGGGAGGTGGCCGGTCTGGTGTCATGGTGCAAGGACAATAACCTCACCGTCAACACGAACAAGACGAAGGAGATGATAATGGACATGAGGAAGGAGAGGAGAACTCATCAGCCCCTGTTCATCCAGGGGCTTGAAGTGGAGAGGGTGAGCAGCTTCAAATACCTGGGTGTCCACATCACTTGGACACTCAACATCACATGGGTGGTCAAGAAGGCCTAGGTTGCCTAGGATCCTTTGCAACTTCTACAATGGCATCATTGAGAGCATCCTGACCAGCTGCATCACTGTCTGGTATGGCAGAACTCCTGCTATGGACCACAAGCGCCTGCAGAGAGTGGTAAAGACTGCGGAGAAGATCACCAGGACTCCACTGCCGTCTCTGTAGAGCATTTACCACTGCAGGGTGCGTAGGAAAGCGGCCTCCATCCTCAAAGATCCCACCCACCTCCAGCACGGACTGTTCACCTCCCTACCTTTTGGCCGGAGGTTCAGAAGTGTGAAATGCAGGACCTCTAGGCTGAAAAACTCTTTCTTTCCCTCCGCCATCAGACTCCTAAACAGCTGAGGCGTTTATTACCAGGAAATACATCATGTACTGTCAACCTGTACTGTTTACATTCTCAGTTTGTACATGCATAATTGCACATTGATTGTTGACAACTGCACATGCTGCTCCCATGCAGCATACATTCTCTGGAGAGGACATACTCACATTTAGTGATCTGAGCCTTGCTTACTCCAGTATGATTATAGAGTCATGTGAACATGAATGGAAGGGTTTTTTCTGTTCTTTAAAAACTAATGCGTACTGTGCCACTATGCGTGAGCTTCTGGCTTCAGTAGTAGCAGTGATGGTGCCAGAAAATTCTCCTTGACTGACTTTTGGATTTGCCAAACTGATGGCAGAAGAGGCTTCACTTGGAACAATTATATGATCCTATTGCTTGTAGAATCCAAAAACATTAAGGTCCCTTTCAAACCATATATTTAAAAAATGCCAAAATCTTTGCTAGACCTTGTTGAAAGGTCTAGCACATCTGTATCAACCAAAGGGTGTAACACTTTACCACGTGGCGAATTTGGTGCTAATCAGAAATGGTAAAAATGACTTTCTGTGGTTGTCTTCGCTAGATGTGGCTACAATGACTTTTTGACACGAATAGTATCTCCTGCCCTTCTCACTAGCGTCTTCTTTGGCCTATTCATTGCACAAAGCTGCTTAAGCACACTTAAGCACATTAGCATTTGGCTGCCAGGGGGACCATATTGACCCTGCTTTTGGATGGTCTAAATGAGTGAAAGATGGAGTGATTTGTTAGGGCTTTAGAAGTTGCTTTTGGGTGGAGTGGGGGTGAACGTGAAGGAATGGGGTTGAGCTGGTGGGGATGGGTGGTGGTGGTGATGCAGAGTTGTTCTGACTTTCTCTCAGGGTTATGGTGTTTTTTCTGATCTGCTGTGTTGCTTTTTCATGGCTGAAGCAGGCCTGATTTGTGACATTTCAGTCTAAAGGGCCTTTTTCTGCTTGCTATATTGGCTTGACCTGATTATCTAATTTGTGCTTTGAATTTCAATCAGGTCACCCAGTCTCTCCCATGTGGTATGGGAACCACTGGCTGAGGGATTATCTCATTCAAATGTCTTCAAACACAGATGGTCGAATGTTTAACTAATTGTTAAAAAAGTCCACAATAGGGAATTTAACCATGCACACAGTGCATAGATAGTTAGTGGGATGGTTTTTTAAAAATTAGTCAAATGCAGCACAGTGTAGTGCATGTTGGGCCTCAGAAACAGTTTGTTCACAGAGCATTATAAACTCCTGTACACAGTGTTTATGTATGTGTGATGGTGTGTGAAGTACTTATATTATTTATGAACATATAGGCAGTGAAATAAAACAGAAACATGGTAAATTGAGTTCCATTTTAGTAAATTGTTTTTTCTTTTTTCTTAGGGGGACACAACGTGAATTAATTTTTATTAGGATTAGACCTTTACATTCTCTTTGCCTTCTTTGTCATCAGCCTCTACTCCTCTCTCACCACCAGAGTCTGTGCTCCACTGCCACCATGCATACAGTCAGAGCCACCGACACCAATGAAGTTGACAAGCTAATATTCCAAGAAAGCGATAATGACAGAAAGGTAAGTTATACTGTCTGTCACAATACTGACTTGTCCCAACCTCATTAAAATGAACAAACATTTTAAAACTGCATTTAATAAATGCAATAACATTCTCAAATCTAGCCCCCAGTCTAACTGGCAAGCTTGTTTGTTCTGCTGCTAACTGGACCTTAAGTTCCCACAATATATTCAAGACAGATATTCACTAGGGATTCCTGTCTATAAACCTTGCCTTTTCTGTGGATTTACTTTGATTGTATGCATATCCAATCAGTGAGATCTGAGCTGATTTTCACAGCAAAACTCTGGTGTGACCAGGCCTCAGTAGGAATATGAAGATGCATTTATACTGCATATTGCATGGGAAAACTGCAATCCTAACTTGTAATTAAACCTACAACTGCTAATGATTTTCTAGTACTGTATTACTCATATACTGTATTAGAACCTGAACTATTACAGATTGTGTTAACATACAATGTAAAGTGGTGTGATGCCTCAGTGAGGCACTACAGCACACTGCTCTTCTCTGCTGTGCTCTTATTACAAAGTGCAGGTCACAGTAGTATCGGTGTTAATTACGACACTATTTTTCTTTTCACTGCTATAGGTTATTCTCCACCTTGAAAAGAAGCTTTTTAATTATGTCAACCAGGATGTTTTCCAGGAAAACAACGGGACCTCAGTAAGTCTCCCCTGTACTTCCTAAACCTTTATATATTCATCTCACTCTTGTTTCTTTCCTTGTTGTTATTTATTACAGTTTAAATTTCTTTTATTAACTGTCTTTTATTGCTGTATTTTAACAGCTACTATCTATTAGATTTCAAACTGATAATTTGTGAAAGGCACAGAACACAAGTGAATGAAAGTCAAAAGATTCAATACAGCTGCAAAATTTGATCTGAGGGCTTTTCATATTTGGATAGTGGGTACAGAAATGGTAATATTAAGGTAAAGCAAGCACGTGTACAGGGGCTGAACTCATTCATGCAGATGTTTTTGTTGATGTCCTCATATCATCATGGGCCTAATACACACTACTCTCTTTGTCCCCACTGAGTGGTCAAATCTCTCTGGAATAACTTTTGAAATTGGAAGTATTCACAGAGGCTATACTGTATATTACATTAAGTAGTTCAAAGTTGGACACCCCCACACACACCTAGTGTACATATCAAGAGTGGACTGTAAAGCTGCTAATGTAGACAGAAAGGAAGCGCAGAAGATATTTATGTTTCTGGTCACATAATGTACAGTACAATCACATCTTCTGGGAGATAATAAAAAAAAATATTATTATTAATATCATAA